TTGAGAAAGCAACTTTTATTCAGACACAAAAGAAAAATGTACTATTAAAATGCAATTCAGAAGTGATAAAAACTGTAAACGCAGCAGCCGGCTCACAGCACCTCCTTTGTGTACTCAGGGGCGCTGGGGCCACGTTAATTTTGTGTGTGTGTGATGTCCATCCTGTGTGCAAATTAGCACTGGAAGGGCCATAATCTGTCTTATATGAGAGCTCTCTTCCCAAGAGCATATATAATACATGCTTGTGTAGTTTTGTATAATTCAAAGCTATGTGTTCTGTTTATTTTTTATCTCAAATAGGATTAGAGAATATTTTCTTAGGAAAGATATTTGAAAGGAGCTTATTAATAAACATTAAAAAGAAATTATATGGAAGTGTGAAAACTGATGAAATAATACCACTTTTCTTAAGCATATTATTTTTTAAATAAATTTATGAATATAATGGCCAAAAATTTTCAATTGAATTGAGATTGAAAAAAATCCTTCGTTGTGTTAATTAAATGAGATAGTATATGTGAAAATATCAGCATGTGCTAATAAATTTGTGCTCAATAAATTTGTTGAACCTCAACTTTATTTTTTCAGTCTGAATCTCAAAATATTTTTCTTAGCAGAATATTTAATTGAGCTGTATATGCTTGTTTCCCAGAGCTTGCTTTCTTTCCTCTGTTTCTTGTATTTAAAAACAGGATCTAGCTCTAATTTCATTGATACTATGTCTCCCTTGATAATAGTAATTAAATTGTTCTGACGATTACTCCTGTCTCCTACATTATGTATTTCCTCTTGGTTGTCTTTTATGTTTACACATGTGTTTTTCTTTCATGTTGGTAGTTCCCCCAATTGATAATCCATTCTTAAATTCATGTTCAAAAGGAGACTCTAAAAATTGTATTAAAAAGTATATCTGTGTGTGAGAGTGGCTTTTTGACTGATAGACTTTGTTACACTGTTGATATGACCTTTTCGTTAAGAAATCTCCAAGTACTGCTGTTTGAAGTTGTTTCTCTGGGAGCTCTCTGTAACTTGTGAGAAATACAGTTAGTCTTCTGAAATCTATGAGTCCAGCTGCCAGTTCACTTAGAGATGAGCTAGGGAAGAATTCAGTGAGTAGTTTTTGAATTAAAATTAGTATATTCCATTTGGTGCCGTACTTCAGCCTTCCGTAGACCTGCTTTCCCTGAGGCCAGAACTCTCTCGAATAAAGTTTTCTGAGAACACGCTCTTTTAATGGATACATGGACTGTGAGAGGAACCTGGGGATTTAATTATTCTTTGCATAGACTTTTCATCTGTTTTCAGCTTTATTCTTCACTCTCGCCCACTGCAGTAACTGTAGCTTCCATTCTGAGCTTCTCCAGGATTTTGCAGGACAAATGGTCTCACTTCTTGGCATCTCCCTCTTCCAGAACTTAGATTTCTGTTTTTTAATTTTCTGTCTACTTTCTATCTGCCAAAAATGTGATAGCATTTTCATCTTGACTCTTTTCTTTTGTCCTCTTTCTTGTGAGTTTATAACTTTTTTTTAGCTCCTTACTCTTATTTCAGGTTTTGGTGAGGGATTAAACAATTCACCAGGTTACATTAAAATACATCACAATAGTAAATGTCCTGTGAGTTTGTATGGGTTTTTAAATTCTCAGTTTTATGTTGATTATAATGCCTTAAAAGTAATGATGGTGATAATGGTGATGATGATGATGATGATGGTGGTGATGGTGATGATGGTGGTGGTGGTGATGGTGATGGTGATGATGGTGGTGAGGGTGATGATGGTGATGACAAGAGCTTTGACAATAAGCTGCTTCTACTTTAGCATCCTCATTATTTATTGAACACTGCTGTTTTCAGCCTCTATGTTAAACTTTGTATATATTAAGTTGTTCATTCCTTACAACTTCCCTATATGGTTGTAAAATCTCACAGAGGTCAAGTAATAGCATGAGGGAACACAGGTAGCAAAGACAAAGCTAAGATGTGAATATAGATCTAACTGACCCAAAAGCCTCATTATCCATAACCTGTACCAAAAATGTCTTCATTATTTGGGTGCATTAAGATTTGAAGAAAGTCTGTTTCAATGAGAGTTGCCTGTGCTAGCCGTCGTTTTCATCTGGGGATACTGTTTTAAAATTAATGACATTTTCACTTATGTGATGAGTTTTGAATTACATGGCATCATCAATTAATAAATTTATTATTGAACATTTTCTATATTTATTTAGAAAATGTTTGAGACTCAAAAAATACTGTGAAGTTTTACTATCTCCACTTGCAGTAGAAGATTCATCAAAGTTAATAGCAGAGGTAGTCAGTGGCAGAGATTAAAGTGAAAACCTGGTATTCTTATGTGAAGCCATGTATTATTTTCACTATCATTTACTGCTTCTCTAAATTCTTTTTTAATAAAATGTCTCTAGAAATCAAATTAAGAATATCAATGAAATGTTCTTTCAGGTTTTTGCCGTTTTCCTCCTACCATAAAATAAAAAGTACATCCCAACACTGCATTTATCAAGCAAGTATGGTTCTGATTCTTATGGAAGGCAGCATTTCCGAGATGAAAATCCTAAAAGATGGATCTGTGACAAGGTGAGTTGATGCAACATTAAAAACAAAATGATGTTTCTTTTAAAAGGCTAAAAATATGCAGTGATTACAGCAAATATTAGAACTAACACCTTCATGGGTACAAAATTATTTATAACAATTTTATGTGAAGATGGTGATGCTTATATCAGCAGGAGATTTAGGGGATTTTTTGGGTGGTGGTGTGGGGTTTTTTTTAGTGTTCTATTCTTGTGTTTCATGGCTCAGCTACCCTATGATCAATGGCATGGATCATTAGCTTTGGCAAAGCCAATTACGGTCAGAGCATGAATCTGTAGTCACAGAATAGAATTAAGCCAACTCTCAGGGACAGAGATCAGTGTTGGCCTGCTTTCTCTCAATCTAAGCGTGTATGTAGACAGGTAGATACAGGAAGAAAGGGAGGGAGGGAAGAAAGAAAGAAAGGAAGGAGGGAAGGAAGGAAGGAAGGGAGGAAGGGAGGAAAAAAGAAAAGAAAGAAGTGGATAGAGATATAAGTAATAGCCTATCTATTTATATGATATAGAAAAGAAGAAAGCAAATAAATATTTATTTTCTGATTCCAGAATAATATTTCTTAGCACTTAGATAAAAGGGTCTAAATTGGGAAAATGCCAATGTGTCTTAAGCTATAGGAGGTGAAAAGGAAAGTACTAGCTATGTGTTTAACCTATTGTCAAGCAGTTAGAAACTATAACTCAATAAACAGCAACACCAGATAGATAAAATGAAGGGGTAAGTGATTTTCTGGAAAGGGGGTAGGGCCACCGAGTTCCATATACTACCCAGACCTATTGATTCTAGTAATCATTTGTCAGTATTCACTGACACAGTCGTCTTCCAAAAAGATTTAAGGCATCTTACCAAAAGGTCATGTGGTCTAAAAATGTAAATAAGGAGAGATGGTCTTAGATGAGAAGAGCATCTATGCTCACAAAATGTGGGGGTGAGGGGGGGCCGGGACTGGTGGTGAGTGACAGGAACTGCAGCTTGCTGGTGGCAGAGATGAAGAGACAACAAGTTCAGAGGCATCCTCATTACGCCAGAGGGAGAAACATGTTCAGTCTTTAAGAAGAACGAAATCTTTCTTTACCAAATTCTAAGGAAAATTCTTTTCTTAAGGATATTGTAAATATGGGCTTACCATAGGAAACTCATGCTGGGGAGTAACTTGGATTCTTCAGAAAGTGCCTTTATCTTTTGCAGCTACTAAGTCATTTTTGTTTAAGTGGTCTTTTAAAGCACTCAATGGTAATTCCATGGCATAAAGAATATATACAATAAATAGTTCAATCTGCTTTACTGATTGACAAACCTAAAAGTTGATGACGATGTTATTTTAGAAAAATCCACAGTAGAACTATTCTAGGCATTTGTTTTTACCTCATGTGCAACCATTCAGAATACAGGTTAAGTATGATTTTTAAATCATTTAATTTCATATTTTGAATGTACATAATATGATCTACATCTCATTTTCTATTTGACATAATTTTTGTTTGTTTTTATGCTTGCCCCATTCTATTTAATTCAAGGAAGCACTCAATTCTTTAAAATATGAATGATTTATCTTAGGACATTAAGCTACTTCAGAGTAAGAAATATCCCATTGCAGATGTTTCTTTCCTAAAATAATATGGTACTTTTTGATTTTATGCAACAGGTTTATTCATACATTCTGACATGTTCCAAGACTATGTGTTTATCTAACTAGAATAAGCAGCTAATAGAGACTCTTGGATACTCACTAAAAAAAAATAAGAATAATTTATTTTATTGTTTTGGAGGAATTATTTTGTACCTCTGTATACTTTTAGAAAGTACACATACTTGAAAAGTTAATGACAAATAATTGTTCTTGTAGACCTTGAAAAACTGAGGGAGAAAAGTACAGGGTTTCTTTAATTCTTAATAAATCATTAGTCCACTTACACAAAACCAGGTGAAAAAATACTAAATACAAATTTACGTTTCCCCCCTCCTTAGTTCCTTCTTCCCCCTTCCTTCTGATCTCTTCAAATAACCAATTAAATAAACAAATTATTATTCTATATTGCTGATATATTCTGCACAATACAGGGGTAGTCATTCTGTCATTTACACGAAAGTATTTTATACTTTGATTTGCTGTTAAATTATTTGGGTAAGACTTGTTCCCAATAAATTGCTAAAAGCAGGCTTATTTTTCTTTATTTTTTATAAAACTTTGTTTCTTGATCTTGGAGATCTGAGACCACAGCTTATTCATTATTAGGAGATTAAAGACAGTTTTAGGGATTTGTTGAGTTCAAAATGTGGAAGATGGAAAAGACTAGCATAGTCTTATGCTTCTTCTATTCAGAAGATGGACTATTTACAAATATTTAAATGCATATAAGAGTTAGTTGAATGCAGTAGATTGATGTCAGCTAAGAAAGAGCTCAATTAAATATATTTGGTTCCTATTATCCACTCTTTCCATCATGTTTTAAGATTGTCTACATGGAGAATTGTCTTTCTCTTCTGTCATCTTTAAACATGGAGGTTATGATTTTGAAATGATTTGTTGCACAGTTGTGATAAAGGGTATCACTTGAGACAAAATCAAATGTTTCCTTTCTCTAATCACATTCACTTTAAATCAATACTGAAACATTATTTAATATTTTGTTTTATTTTTAATGCCGTTAATACAAAGAACACTATACAAAGACATCACAAAGTCAGCAGATTGAGAGCAAATAATGTTTTCTGAAAGTCTGAAAATCAATAATGAAAAATAACATATATCATTTTTGAAAGTATGGAAGTCAATCCTAAAATAACATACATCTCATGTAACTTACTCTTATATTTTTTATCTATTTGTAAAATGCCCCAAATTAAGTTGTTTGATTCTAGGTCTGTGTCTTAAATGGTGAAACTTTGTTTAAGTTCAGGGAAATACTTTGTATGTATAAATTCTTTGCTATGCTGATCTCAATATTTAAAATAGAAATGAAATTAAATAAGGAGAATCTATCAGTCACTATTAATTTAATCTACCTGGCTAGGTCTAAAAGAGTTGGACAATAAAAAATTCAGTATGCTGAAAACATTCTTTTGATTGTCAAAACATTCACATACATTCGTATTTACTGAAGCAGAAATGATACTTTAAGGCCTTTATCTGCATTAAAATGAGTATCATATGCATTTTAGACAACTGGTTTTAATGGAACCATTTCATGATTTTCCTTATTTGCAAAATTCAAGAGGAGACTTTTAAGATGGTTCGTGTTGATAAAGCCTTCCGTCCTATGCCTTATTATAGGTGAATTACAACAGTAGAGCAGCCCTTTTTTGTTATTTTCATGTGCATTTTGGTCCCAAACAGGATTTTATAAGCTACAAAGCATAAAAATATCTAGTAGTCCAAAGAATTAATTTAGAGAACCTAAGCATATTGCACAGAACATAAAGTTGACCTTTACCGTCTACGGCTTTTGGAATGGAGTGGGATGTGGAACACATCATGGATTTAATGTGGCACATCGCTGTCTGCAGAAACTTGGGTGGGACTGTGACTGCTTGCCCACTGCACCCGGTGATTGAATCTGCTGTCACCAGCATCCTGATAATAATGAACATTCAGCTTAACGACCGTGATTATGATTATGATAATTGATGTGCAAGTGCAGTGTGTGGGGATCATCCCAGCTGAACTGTACAGCAGAGGAACATGCCTCAGTTATGGATAATTTTACTTTTATGCATTGATTGGGATAAAATATGCCTTTCTATTTCAACAGACCAGCTTCATATAATTTTAAGAATCTTTCTGCACATGCTGATGGATGATAATGTGCTGGCTGAAAACAGCCCCTTACAGTTGTTTGTTTTGTGTTGTTTCATTTCATTAGTGAATGTAAACAATTAAATAATTAGCTGTAATTGAGGGAAAATATTTTGCTTAGGAGGATGGCCTTCAATAATCAAATATTCAGTTTAAGTGCTTTTTCTGTCTCTCGCACGATATTATCTGGGACTGAATTTCTTCAGTTTCCTTCGTCTGATTCCCTTTGTATCCGTCCTTCTGAGGTCAGTAGCCTTCAGGAAAAGTATAAGCTTATATAATTTTTTATTATAGGTTATAGGATCATTTGTTGTGCATATATTTATACATATACTCTATTATGCATTTAATTTGACAGAGCCAAATACTGAGTTATGTTATTTATTAAAAATAATGTTTAACCTACAAAATAGTTTAGATGTGTAATGTTAAGATATATAAATTTACACTGACTTTACTCTTCAATGAATTTCGTTTCGAATAGGTTTGTTACATTGTGTAGAAATTTTCAATTAGAGTTTTTAAAATGGGTTCAGAAGAGTTTCTGATTTGAATTTTAACTTGTGAATGAAAATAATGTGTGCAGTGATGTAGCCAAGATTTTCAGACCTTGTGCACGCCAAGCACATGCTCTACCACTGAGCAATACCCCCCACCCACTATGGAACACAGTTTTAGAAGAAGCATGGTAAGCTATTTTTAAAAAAACTTTAGTAACTACAAGAAAGTCTGAGGTTGAGAGGTCTCCCCATCAGATTGTTAATAACTGTACAGCTCTAGAGAGACTATGGCAAACGCTTCCTTCTGAGGTCTGTAAAATTTACATCACCCCAGGTAAGTTGCTTGCCCTAGATGTGCAGCTGTACACTGTGGTGTAGGACAAAATCTGCATTTGACACAGAGGTTTTATAGCTTGCCTATAAAATTTTCTTTCCGAAAGTTTTTAGTCCCAATGTGATTCCTCAACTTTATGAAGAATTCCTCTTGAAGTCTGTCTCTCTGTATGTGTATTGTGGGATTATTTTAAAGGGGAATGGTTCTTGCCTAAGATATGCTTATAAAGTCCTTTTAAAATTGAAATAATTATTTGTTTCTTTTACTACTTTATTGCAGTGTAAATTTCTCATGAAATTTGTTCTTATATAATGATGATTTAATTTTACATTTTCCAAAGAGGGGATGGTATAGG